TCCTCCTGATGGTCCTCGTTTTTTCCTCAAACACAGATCCCAACATAGCTGTGCCAGGTATTTTGTCTGTCTGTCTAGTAAAAAATTTCAGGTCAACTTAAAGGGCCAACATCATGAAAAATTATATCTTTTTCGAAATAAAGAGTATTAAAGCATATCATTCACTTCCCAGTCCATACAGTCTATATGCTGTCTAATACAGTCTAATGTATAGAGACACAGTCTAAGATATAGAGACAAAGCTGCGAAAACAAGCCTGTAAAGTTTTTCTTTGGATAGCGATGATATATAAACTATACTACAAAAACATCCTCTTTTGAAAGAACTGCTTCTGTAATGTCACAAGAACCAGTTCATTTACATTTTCCACCTATTCAGCCTAGAGCTCTTCTGACCCATTAAATCACAGTGAAGTTGTAAGGAAAGTTTGAGCTCCGAGCGCTTTTTCAATAAGGCACAAGACAGGACAGCCAATCAGAACAGAACTCATTTATCTCAGCTCTTTCTTAAAGGTGCAGCAACAAAAAACAGTTCTAAGGGATAATGAAAGGTTGGAAATGGTCTTGTAATACTGAACTATGGCCATGTTTGGTACGTAAAAGTGCACAAAAATGTAGGATATGAGCCCTTTAAGTTGTTCTGCATAGCTTTTTTCAATTTTCTCAATATTAATGCTAATATTAATATTTCCTCATGCTCAGAAAAAAACAGAAGCAAGGAGATCATGAGCCAAAATCCCAGTGATGCCTCGGCTCTCTGTATTCAGAAGTATGAGAGGAGGGAGCAGCCACATTCTTTGGGCCTCAATCACCAACTGTTCTTAAGAAGAAGTTTCTTCTTAAAACCCTCCTACACAGTTTTCACAAAGATTCTGACATTCACCAATGTTTTCCTATTTGGGATTTGTTCTTAGGAAAGAACAGAATACAGAATACATTAAACAGAATACATTAAACAGTTCTACTGTTTAAGAACACATCGTGAATCTGATGTTGACTTTTCCTTAGGAACTTTGTCAAGAACAAATTTAAGAAAAAAGATATTGGCGAATGAGGCCCACTGTTTTTTCTAAGTGAGCTCAAATTAAACATCGACTAAACTAAGTTAAGAAAATGATAAAAATAATAATAGTAATAAAAAATGAAAGTTGACCTGACTTTTTGTTAATGAGATGTGCAAGTGTGATGAACCTTTTTAAAATATAAAACCTCCATATACAACTCAAGGTTTTTTCTAGAACTATCTGTCTAAGCGAAAAGCCATTGAGGAACCTTTGTTTTAAAGGAGTGTACCACACAGCGTTGCTCAGGAAGCTTTAGCTATTTAAAGTGTGTGAGTCTGTAATCTACTGCTGTTGCACTGGCAACATTTGGTATGAGACCATGAGGAATATCTATAAATGTGTTGAAAGTACAATACAGTTGTTCAATATCCAGAGCCTTGCAAATGCCATGCTCAGTCATCCTTCAAGAAACAATGAGATGTTTAGCATTACGGCATAGATAGACATAATATAACTTCATCATTAATCATTAATGGGCTTTAATGAATATTATGCAGGCCTACAGTTTACATGCTTCTGATGAAATTACATCCTTTATAGGGAAGAAACTTTTGCACAGGCCATATTTAATTTTTCCCCTAATATGTTTGATTCAACAAATATACAGTAATTATGCATTAAAATATGCAGAACTTGTTCTATGTAGAGGAAGTGTTAACTTATTTTAACTTAGAAAATCAACAAAAAAAGTGTAATTTGACCACAGGCACACAAACCTTTACATATATTTTTCCAGATAAAGTATAGAATAACACTATGTTTAACTAGAGAAATACTAAGGCGAGTGCAGACTACTAATACGTAAAAAAATGTCATTTGAATATTTAGCGAAGTTGAACATACTGTATGTTCTTTTGCTTTTTGTAGACTTGTAGCCAAATTAAAAACAGCATGACTGGCAAAACTACTTCTGAGAACATCATGGTGACGAAATGATCTAAATCTCAGGCAGTTTGCTAACTGAAGTAGAATTGACATATTTAAATCTGAAATGGATCTCTTTACCCTTGAGGCACAAGCCAGTGTGTGCTGGACTGAGACACCTGGTGTGGACTGACCTAGAATGAAGCGGAGCATGTGAAAGTGTTATTTACAGTTTGGCTCAGGCTGCTGTGGCCTACACCCGATGCGTTATGATAGTGTGGTCACTGCTGTCTAAAATTATAAAGCAGTCCAGAATGATGTCTTAGGCCCCAGTTGCAGTTTACTCTATACTCAGTATAAATAGCTGAATGTTTTGTTTGGAAGGAGAACTGTCCACAAAGATTGTTTAAAATTGCCTTATTAATTACACTGGGGGTCAAAATTAGTTGATATTACGTTAACAGTGCTGCCAGCGGTTGTGATGGCCTGCCTCCACTGCAGTTCTACTGCACCACATCCACTTTTAGCTTTCAGAGTTTTGTCAACTTCTGTCCAAATTGTTGAAATCATGCAATGAGTGCCATACATTGTCCAAAAATTATTAACTGCTTAAAGGTGAATTCAATTTCATTCCTTTTTACATAGTTGTATAGTTAAGATGCTAATGAAGTCATTCAGAGTGGTTTCGTGTGAAATGCTCCATTTTAGAGAACGTTACTAAGTCAAAAATGTGCACAGTGGTGGTGATACGAACCAGACATCTAAAAAGTTTAATGCCTCTAAAAGTTACATCACAGAAAGTTATTGTGTATGAAATGGCTCAAATATGCTACTGTTGCCTGAAACACTTTTTTATGAAAGTTTTGAGATAAGATTGTGGGTTAAAACATAATTTTTTAAATCTTTTCATGGTGGAGTGGTACATGAAAGTGTTACAAGGCAAAATTCCAAAAAAGTTTTTTTTAGATTTGCCACCATTTTACCATTATCAACATTGCATATACACACACAGAAAACATGTGTAGGTTCACTGTTCATGTCAGATAAGAAGTAAAGCGGCTATATTTGCATTGTAGACATCACAGCCCCTGGTTCCCATCACCATCACTGTAAGAAAAGTTTCTTCAAATCACTCTGAATTACTTTGTTTACTTCTCAAACATTGTAATTGTGAATAATCCTCAGACTGCCTCTTTATTAACTGCTGAATTTATTTAGTAACTTCAAGGCAAATATACAGTATCACAGTACTGGAAGATGTTTTCATGATATACATTTGGTAATAAATGATATATCATTTTTCTGAAATATGATAGTTAGAACAGACAAAATGTTACAACAGTAGGGCCACATTTAAAAATTCTATTAAAACTCTAAGTATAAGACTTTATCATTTAGAATTTTGCATAAAGCACAGCACAACATCTAATTAAACCAGACCAGTTATTTCTATTTATTATTTGAACTTGATCTCCTGACAATAAGACAAAACTTTATGCAGCTATGCCTGTTGGGAACCTTTTTAGGCCTCTTTTTTAACATAGTTAGTTGTGACAGTTCTAACAATACAATACAAGAAGAGAAAAGCTTGTCTTGCTGTAATTTATCACAGTAATGATATTGTCATATCATCCACCCCTTCTAACTACTATGAACCTCATAAGTAAATTGTGTATTTATGAGAGTAAGTTAGAGTATGGATGACATATAAGCCCTTACAGTTTAAGTAGCAAATAAGAGCACATTTTGTGGTTATTCAAACTGAATAACTACTATATTTACAAATGCACATGCATCTTTTAATGCTGAAGGTAAATGGCTTTTGTGAGGCTACAACAGCAGTGTACACTAAATCTGTCTTGGCTAGTTTACTCTGAAAGGGATCTAATCTCTTATTATAATTACAGATAACACTGCAATGCGTTAGCTGCGCAGACCATCTTGGAGCAATTGTTGGTGTTTTACAAGCTGACCACCTTTCAGACTGATTTGTGATGAGTACAGTGTCAAAGTAAAGGTCAGTGTTAAATCTTACACTAGACTGCCACCGTTGCTCCTCTATTCTGGACTTGTGACAGCCATCTGATGACAGGAGCTCTGTTTGGTCATATAACATGCAGCTGTTGTGTGGTGTAATGTAGGGGCACTAGGTCTGAAACTAAACAAGAGCTGCTTAACAAGAGCTTGGATTGCAGAAAAAAGTTTTATTCGTTAACATGTTTGAATTGTTTTTCTAGCAAAACAAAGTCTCTGTCTATAGGCCAAAAGTAGTATGGTTTTCTTAAAGCTGCACTGAGATTGTTTTGTTACAATTGAAATAAGTAGCATTACTGAGACTGAGAAAAAAAGCTTAAAATTTTAGTATCAACATACAGATGTTTAGGTCTCAAATGCAAAATCAACATTACTCTGATTATATATATATATTATGACAATAGTAGATAATTCCCTGCTAAGGGAAGGGTTCTGAAGCACAACAAACATCACAAAATATTGCTTGTTCTCACAACTGTACAAATGTTAATTTTTGTACAAATATACATATCATTCTGTAATATATTGTTTATTATAATTATTATGTCATATGTCTCCCCAGACCCAGCACATATGTACATTTGGCATATTCTTCTCTTTTAGCTCTTTTTACATTGGCTCTTCTATATCTACACTCTTAGTCTTTATATATTTTATGCACTTTATTCTACTTTTATTTATATAAGTGGCCAGCCCTGAAGCCTTATGTGCCAGAGACATCACTGTAGAGAGGTTGACAACCATGAACTAGCCTACTTACTTAATTCTATTCTATTCTGTTTTGCTGTTGAAGAACAGTTCCTTGGCTGATAGATACTAGCACACTAAAAAGTTCCACTGCCATTCAATAGAGAACTACATATTCCATGGCTTTCTTGACCTGATATTTTACTCCAGCTCAAGTTGTTTATTGATAGCTACTTTTACTTGAAACGTAATTTCATTGAAGTAACTGCTTTTACTTCTGTCCGTTTGTGTCGTAACAGTGGCTTTCTTATTGTCTTAACATAAGCTCTCGTATGTCTGTACTCTCTTCCAGGTGGAAGAAGGTAGCCATGCATCATTGGCTGGTTTGCGTGTGGATGATGAGGTAGTGTCCGTCAACGGAGAGCCATCTTCCAGCCTCAGCCTTTCAGAGGCTATTGCTCTCATCAAGGGCTCCACTGATGGTCTGCAGCTAGTGGTGAAAAGGTACTTTATGAAAGAGTATAATAAGTCTTGAACAGAAAAGTCTGTTCTTGAAGCTGTTCCTCGTCGCTAAAGTCAGATGTCCAGATCTAAAGCCTAACCTCAAATTCATGAAACACAGAGGTGTAGCTACCACAGGGACATATCTGCAGGGGGACGCTGAGGGCCTAGGTCCAGTCACTTGGAATTCAGGTCCCCCCAGCTCAAAAGAAAGTCCTCCATTGCCACGGAATACGTTACAAAATGTAATAAAATCTTGCGATAACCCAAAGGCGCTAAGTTCTTGCATCCTTGTGCCTTTATTTCCACTCTAACCCCTTAAAATCCCAGGCTTATGATATACTAATGCTTATCATTCATTGATTCCACAGACTACTATGCAAACTAGCTAGAGTTATTCTTCAGATGTAGAAGTGTGTGGTAAAACTTGGAGCCTGCCAGTGGGCCTTGGCCATTTAAGGGGTTAAATAAATGTGACCACAAAGCATTGGGAACATCACAGTTTAAGCCTACTCTGCAACAAGGCAGTCTTATTTTTTTTCTGATGCCGACATGTTGCATAAAACACAGTGTTACCCTGTTCAGTTGTTTTTGCAGACTGTCTGAACTGAAGCTGAGCTGTGCTAGTTCCTATCATAGGCTGCTACCTAGCTTAAGGGAGCTAGGTAAGCAGCAAAGTTGACCATGCTAAAGAAATCAAAGCTCAGTACTGTGGGGAAAAAACTATGAGGAAAACCGATGTCTTCAACCATTCGCCAGACATTAATGTCTAGTAGTGTAAAAAGGTACGACTGGTTAATTAGCCTTAACCTGCCATGCTATCAGTTGTTATGGTGATAAAGTTAGGCACTTAAATGTGAAGTCAGCAATCATGTTGTGTTTCAAATTTTCTCTGGTTATGGTAGCTACACTGAAGTAGGATGGTTGGTGGTCATCAACCTCACCATAGGGATGTCTCTGGCACATAAGGCTTCAAAGATGGCCCCTTCAACTTATAACCAGGAATTCTGACTCAAAACTAATTTAACTTATCCAATATCTCAGATTGTTTTGATGTATTTATCTTATTAAAATATTTGAATGAGTGGGAGAAATTGCTGTCTTAGTGATGACTGATTTGACCTTTGGGTTAAACAAATGGCAAGACAGCTGCTTTGTCTTTAGGATCCAAAAGTAACTCTCCAACTGAAAGTAGCTGTTGACTCCTGTTGGTGGGATACCAGAGGATTGTAGAACACTAATGCTGAACACTTTGTTACACATGATTAATTAGTGAATAGTTCATGTGCCTATCCTTTCTGTTGTAATGCTGCGTATGACCTTATAGCATATGGCCTACATAAAGTCCGGCTCATTGAACACAGTGACCTTTCTGTGTGGTGTCCCATTTGACACTTTTTATGACACAACATTTTGTGAGATTGCTTGTACAGTTATACTCTTGGTTACCATGGAAGTGAAGAACAACAGCATATTGCAAAAATTTTACACCATTTTTATCCCAAATTTATTCCAGCTATGTATCAGCATACTGACAAAAGGCTGGAGTCAGCTCACTGATATAATGATGGAGTCAGCATACTGATATAATGATGAAGTCGGTATACTGATATAATGATGAAGTCAGTATACTGATATAATGATGTAGTCAGGATACTGATATAATGATGGAGTCAGGACACTGATATAATGATGGAGTCAGGACACTGATATAATGACGGAAATGCATTTTGCGTTACTGTGTTCTAACGTCCAAAATGTCAGACAAAATCAAGCTATATGAAATAAAATAATTGATACTTAGGATTGCACAGTTGCTGGTTGTTCACATGTTTATATCTCCCATGAGAATGATATAAATATAGCAGTAAAATCTTATTAAAATGTGATCAGTCAATAATAGACTCTCTAATGATTATATGTACCAGATATGGTAGTTATGTCTGAATTATAACATTTTACTTTTTTAAAATTTCTCTTGTAGAGCTTTTTGTGATTCAGCCCTGTTTCAATACTTTTTAATGTGCCCTCTCCCACTTTAACTCACTCATGTGCATCACACCTACATTACGTACGTGGCCATTCATGGCAGAAGGGACGGTAAGGACAGTGAAGAGCAGATTATTCAAACGGAGCACAGTTGCCCTCAGCACGTTAGTCTCAGGGAGCTAATTGGCTAGCTATGTCAACTATGTAAAATTTTGCTATGCAAAATATTTTTAGATGTTTGAGCATAACGTACAGGATGTGTGTGAGTATTTGCTTTGTCTGGCTATAAACCTTGGTGTTGTACTGTGCTGTAGTGCCTTTCTTGTTGTTGTTAGCCATGTAGCTTTTAGCATGCTAACTAGCCACTTAGCTAAGTAAAGTGATTAAATTGTACCAGCAGTCATGTATAAGCGATTGTTTTATAACCTAAAGCCCAGCAAATTCAGTGACATGATTTTGAAATAGTAAGTCTTTTTTTTCCTTTTATTCCACAACTTGAAAGAAAACAGTTACAATTATAACAATGACAATTCCACAATATCTTGTAACCATCTAGCCCCACTCCCCCCAACCCCCTAACCCACCCTACTCGCCCTTCTCCTCTTACTCACCATTCTCACCCTTCCCACCCAACCCTGGATACCCCCCCCCAACAGTCTCTACCTGCCTTCCCAACTTAAAAAAATAAATAAATAAATAAATAAAATTAAAAGGATAAGGACGTCCTCTAATCTGTATTTAAGTTAGATAGGCGTTTAAAATAGGAGATGAATGGTTGCCAAATCCGGTCAAATAAGTCTGCAGTACCTCTCAGGCTAAATTTAATCTTTTCTAAGTCCAAGAAAAACATGACATCAGTTAGCCATAGAGCGTGTGAGGGTGGGGTGGTGGATTTCCATGCCAAAAGGATCCTTCTCTTAGCTAAGAGATTTTTAGATTTTTGGGAAAGTTCTGCTACTGTAAGTCTACACAAATCTATACTTAAGTTCACTCGGACCTCACTTATGTTCACTCGGTCCCCCACCCCTTAGTTTCTCGCCCCTCAGCTAATAAAGTAATTCAATGGTCTGAGGATTGTGTTGGGGATTCTCCTGAGGGGAAATGACATGGCCAGGTGGACAAGGGCCTGTTAAAACCGGTATTGAAACGGGCTGATCATCTTCCTCAGGTACATGCTTGAAGCAAATGGCTCTGATTATGTGACCAATTCACACCACCCACATAAAAATGTTCATTTTAAACCAAGACAACCTATAATTTAATATGTGGTTTGTCTTTCAATAATAAAAGCTAAAAAACTCTGGTGACACTTTACTGTTGGACAGTGATTAGAAGGTTACATAACAGCTACATAAGCCCCTTATGACAACTGGTATAAATATATAAAGATTTATTAATAATTCCAATATCTGTCTTTTGTCATGAATGTTGCATTTGCCAACTTTGATGCCAAGTTGACATGTGTGTCAGATTTTTTCTGGTGTTAATTTGTGTCATGACACTTTCTGGGGAGAAATGACAGACTTTGTGGCTCCTAATGTCCTAATGAATTTCAGAGTGACATAATGATAATATAACCCAGCTTGCCAAATCAGGCTGGTGGAACAAAAGTGAAGATTTTCCTTGGCCCTTAGGTAAAGTGAGTTTCATTTTGTCAAACCTTGGCTGGTTTGCGCATGGGATAGGATTTAAGCTATGTGACATCAGCATTATGACACTATGATATGATATACACTAAGCTACAAAGTCATTTGTTATAACATGACAACCTAATGTCAGAAAAAATCAGTGCCGCCTGACATAGGTGTTCAACTTGACATACTGTATCAGTGTGAGCCTCTCAATTCAATACGTACAGAACATCAAATAATTCATACAACAGACTGGAGCAAATAAAGTACTAGTTTAATACTGATTAGACTGCATGTTGTATAACAAGCACAACAAGCCAACAATGAGACCAGACCCCCCAACCCATACCCCTTCTATGAAAACATCATTTATTATTTACCTCAAAATGAAGAGCAGGGAGAAAAAGCCCAGAACTAAAAATTTAAATATTAGCATATGAACATATGCCAGATTTTCAGACGCTCTTTTAATAATGAACTATAATATGATATCGTTTGGACCTGCATGTGTTGGAAATACTTAAGGGTCAGATTTGAATGAGTTAAAGGGGACAAAGCCAAAGTCTCTGACTGTATCGGCACATTAGGTATGATAGAGTTAACCCATACTTCTAACCTTGCTTTAACCAATAGTTCTCCCTTGCAGATGCTGTTTTCAGGGGGGCTTTCAGACAGTTAGCACCACTCTGCGGATCCCAGCTCCATATAGACCTCAGGGTCCAAAGGAACTCTACATCTCTGGGTCACAAGATGAAGCACTCTATGGGGAGACAGATAGTGAAGCTGAAAGCCCTAGACGGAGCCCTATGGTCCGAACCCAGTTTTGCATTCCAGCTCCAAAGGACAGAATTGGAGCAAACACCAAAGGCTCTGGGGGTGGAGGAACCAGGTTAGAAATCACTCCAGGATCTGTGGTAGAGTTACAGCTGTCGCTGTCTAAGACCACCCTGGGGGACACAGGCTGTACCTCACTGGGCAGCGCTCTTGGAGTTGAAGGAGGCTTCTGCCACAAGAAAAACGATGAAGATGATGACACTACCACCAGCACACCAGGCTGTACCTTGTACATCCCCCTCCATGAGAGACAGCCTTTGAGTCAGCGAGGGGTGCTCATCAGTGGTCCATCTGCTTTGCAGGGACAGGTGGAGGTGACCACACAGCCAGCAGGGAGGAGCTCTGGAAGGGAAAGGGTGGGATCTGGTGAGACTGAAGCAAAGGCCAGTGAACGAGGGGATTATGGTGAGGGAGAAGGAGGGCGCACTGAGGAAGCCCCCACCTCCTCCTCTGTCTCCTTTGGAATTCAATCAGAAGAGGGGGACTCTGAGTCGGAGAGGGAGCTCAACGAGCCTAACAAGCACCGGCCGAGGCACGCCAGTAAGTGACATCTTGTGATTTTATCAATAGATTTTATGCTCTTTCACAAAGTTGTTTAATGTCGTCATTGTTTGCCAAACTAGATTTGATCTCTTGTTTTTACAATGTGAATTTTACTGATGTAGTGCTTCTGAATGAACTATTGAATTGTAATTGTCTCTTAGTGACACCTCTATCCTTGTACTAACAGCAGTAATATGTTTCGAAAGAGTCCACAAGAACCAAGTTTAACTTAAAGTTATGTGTGGGATCATGTATGGAGTCTACATGCAGAGAAAATTTCAGTTCTATTTATACCTTGTCTGTTAGGCTGTTTGAAATGATATTTGTTATCACAACTGTTTACATTTGACCACATATCTGTAGTCAGTTAGCTAGAAGTATGCATATCCCCTTTACCACTTATTTAATGTTCTTGACTTTATCTATTCCATGAATAAATGCAATAATTCTTATTAAAGTTTGTACTGCTTTCATACCTAGCAGTGTAGGGGAGGGGGTTTGGAGAGTGACATGCTGAGGATAAGAATAAAACATGGGTATGCTACTGCTGCCTGTAGGAGAGCCATTTGACAGACACTAACATGTGCTACACTGGCGTGTTACCTGATCCTTTAAAACTGGTCATCTTAGCAGCACTGAAAAGGGAAGTGTTCGCTTCTCATCTGTGGCTATCCTCATCTTGAGACTGACATTACGAATATTTAGAATGTAAGAGAGAGTGTTATCAAATGTTCCTTTGCTTTACTGCTTTGCATTGTGTTTGAAGGGTAAGGGGGCCTAAGTTGAAAACCTAGAGATAAATGCTTTTAATAACAGTCTGATGTGCTGAGCAAAGTGGAGCATTCAATTTACTTTATTCAAATGTGCATATCGTTCCTACAGGAATAAAATATATCACATCAAACCAATTTTGAATCAAGTATAAATTCAATGCATTTTTTATTAGTACACTGGTGGTGCTGAAATCTGTGTTTGCTGGTCATTTCTTCAACCTGAGTCCCTTGACAAACTTTCACAGCTGTGAATGGCTTGTGTTAAAGCCTTGTATTATCAGTCAGTAAATAAGAAGAGAATATTACCCATGGGTCAGTGATCTGGGGTAATGGTCCACTGTGCTGCCAACATTTTGCATACTGAATTGATTGATAGTGTAATTGAGGGACAATACTATAGCGTGTCGGTTATTATTTTGAGACTGTACACTATAGGGAATTACCTTGTCCTATGTTGTCACACAACCTTGTATAGCCAAACTGGTAACTTCTCTGGAGCAGGAAAAAAAAACATTTTGTTCCAATTCATTTGCATCTATTAATCTACTGGAGCAATTGTCATAAAGTTTTCACACAATATAAAAGGCAGCTGGCATTTTTCATATGACCGCAACAGCATACAAAGTCAGTCAGTTAATATTTTCATTTGCCTAAATTGATGCAGGTCACACACATGAAAAATGTTAAGATTCAACTATTAACTATTATGCCACGGCACATTCTGTCTACAAACATACTTATACTTGTTTGTACATTTAATTGTATTTTTTTAATTGTATAAGATAATTCTTGTACGTTTTCCAGGTTAGTGCTCTCTAAGGACATGGTTTCTTGACTTTTAGCCATATTATTCATGTAGCTCAAGGAACTAGGCCCCCAGGAGTAACTATTTGAAATACCCATCTCTCTTCATACCCTATCACTGTGCTCTAAACTCCTCCATTCTTTGTCTTTCCAAGGGCTCCGGCGTAGCGAGAGCCTGTCTGAAAAGCAGGTGAAGGAGGCCAAGTCTAAATGCAAGCGCATTGCTCTACTCCTCACTGCTGCTGCCCCCAACCCCAATAACAAGGGGGTATTGATGTTCAAGAAGCATAGACAGAGGGCCAAGCAGTACACACTTGTAAGCTACGGAACCGGAGAGAACGAACCAGAGTTTGAGGCCGAGGAGGACGAAGAAGGCAACAAGGAAACACATGCTGTTGAGTTCACAGTTCTAGCCACCAGTGAAACTGAACTTGATGAGGATTTTTTCACAAATCCCCCAGGCCACAAGAGCATTGTGACTTTTGACTGGGACACTGGACTGCTTGAGATAGAGCGCAAACTTCACAAACCAGAAGACATGAATGCGCTCCCTGAAACCAAGGGCAAAGGAGCCCTGATGTTTGCTCAGCGCAGGCAGCGTATGGATGAGATTGTGGCTGAGCATGAAGACATGAGAAGTAAGGGGATCCCTGTCGAATCGGTACAGGAGGACGAGAAGCATTACCAACAGGTGGAACCACGCACTTACATGCCAGCGACTGAGAGTCAGAATTATATGGATGTCAATGTGCACCAGCAACAACAGTACCAGCAATACCAAGAACAATATTATCAGCAGCAACAGCAGCAACAATATCAAGAATATCAGCAGCAGTTACAGTACCAGCAACAGCAACAGCATTACCAGCAGCAGCAAGAGTACCAACAACAGCATTACCAGCAACAGCAAGAGTACCAGCAACAGCAAGAGTACCAGCAACGGCATTACCAGCAACAGCAAGAATACGAACAACAGCAACAGTATCAACAGTACCAACAACAGCAGCAGATGCAACAGTATTCACATCAAATGAATGGTATGTCCAGTCAACAAACCAGTGTAATGCAGTCATCAGTAATGAATAGAAGTGCCAAGCCATTCTCTGTTCAGAATACGGCAGCAGCCACATTTTCACAATCAGCAAGTCAAGAGCAGCCTTGCTATTCAGTTGGACAGGGTGAACAAATTGCTTCCCGAGATGAGCGAATATCCGTACCCGCAATCAAGACAGGGATCTTGCAAGATAACAGAAGGAAGAACAAAGCTAAGCCAATGTTCACTTTTAAAGAGACTCCCAAAGTTTCCCCGAATCCAGAGCTGCTAAATCTCCTTAACAGGGGTGACAAGAAGGCTGGTTTTGAGTCAGGCCCAGAGGAAGATTACTTAAGTTTGGGGGCAGAAGCCTGCAACTTCTTGCAGTCTCCTAAAGTAAAGCACAAAATCCCACCACCCGTTGCTCCCAAGCCACACATAAACCCAACCTCTCCACCATGGTCTCCACAACCAGAAATCGCAAGCCAGCAGTTCCCTCAGCATGCTGAAAATAACGTCCCAGCAACTGCTGAGGCTCCTGGGCCTGAAGCCGACCCTGTCCCTGAAATGGAGTCCTCAGCCATACCAAAGCAAGAACCCTCCCCCACACCTGCTGCTGAATTACAGGAAGCTCCTGCTCACCCCCTCTCACAGGAACATCAAGAAGCAGTCAATGCATGGGGTCCATCTGAGCAACAAATGCAACCAGAACAACAAGAAAATTGGAATGAGAATCAATCCCAGCAGCACATAAATAACACTCAGCTTGTCCAACCGTCACCTCAAGTACAAGCAAAGTCAGAGCCACCTGTCAGCTCTTGGGGTCCATCTCCAACTCAGGCTCATCAGCAGCCACCAGTGAGTGCTTGGGGTCCAGCTGAGGTTCAGTCACAAACCCTTGCACAGACTCAATCACACATGCAGCCTGCTTGGGTAACACAACCCCAAGTCCAAGTGCAACCATCTACATCTATTCAAACTCAGTCACAGCCCCAGCCTCCTTGGGTGACACAAAGTCCACCCCAACCACAACCTCACCCACAGTCTCAGCCCCAACCTCAACCCCAACCTCAATCCCAACCCCAACCACAAATGAATTCATGGGCAACAGCTCCAGCTCAGTCACCACCCCAACCCCCATGGGCACAATCTCAAGCATCAGCACAGCCATCTGTCAGTACCTGGCCTCAAGATCTAAATCAGACCCAAGCTCAGCCACCCTGGGTGCAACAACAACAACAACATCAGGAATCTCAACCATTACCATCTTGGACAACCCCTCAACAGCATCCCCAGCCTCCTTGGGCCCAACCTCAGGGCCAGCCACAGCCCCAACCACCTTGGGTCACTCAGACCCAACAGCAAGCGCTGCCACAGGAACCTGTAAATGCATGGACCCAACCTCAGAGTCCAGTTCAAGCACAGCCTCCATGGACTCAGCAGGCTCAACCACCACCACAGCCTTCATCACAGGTACAACAATCCCAGGGTCCTTGGGCCTCAATGCCTACCCAGTCACAACCACAACCACCATGGGCTCAACAACCTCAAGAGCATCCACAGCAAATGATGAACTCATGGGCACCAGAGCAGAGTCAAGTACAGCCACCCTGGAGTCAGTCACAGCCTCCAGCTCAGGCACCACCTCCATGGGTCCATCAACCTCAGCAAGAGGCACCACCACCGCATTCTCAACAAACAGTTGTAAGTACATGGGCACCACGGCCCCAGCAAGGTCCAGTTAGTACCACAGCGCCTGCTGAAACTCAGAAGCTGAATCAGTCAGCCAAACCATGGAGTCCACCTCAGACCACTCAGCCCCCTCTACAGCGAATGGGCTCATACACATTTGGAACAAAGGTCCCATCACCCACTCCGACAAGTAGTACAATGTCTCCCTCTGGAATGGGATCAGCTTTCGAGATGCCAGCCTTGCGAGGGAAAGGAGCTGAACTTTTTGCTAAGAGGCAATCCAGAATGGAAAAGTATGTGGTGGATTCTGACACAGTGCAGGCAAACAAGGCAAGACCTTCTTCACCTTCACCTTCTTTGCCAACCACATGGAAATATTCACCTAATTGTCGTGCTCCCCCACCATTAGCGTACAATCCACTTCAGTCACCCTCATATCCACCAGGTGCTATCAAACAGCCTCCATCTTCTAGTCCTTCTATAAAGAGTAAAAATAAGGGCAAAGAAACAGAGAAACCTGCCCCCAAACCCCTTCATGTTCTGGATGTCATGAAGCATCAACCCTACCAATTAAATTCCTCTCTTTTTACATACGGGCCAGCAGCAGAGAAACTTGCTGCAGAAAGGGAGGCAGCTGAAAAGCTTGCTGCTCAGAAAGCAGCAGAAGCCCAAGCTCAAGCTCAAGCTCAAGCTCAAGCTCAAGCTCAGGCTCAGGCTTATGTCCAAGTTGCTGGTCCTCCAAACCAAAATGGGCATTTGAGATATGATCAAGCTCCTGCCCCCTATGGTTTTATTCCACAGCAGCCCCAGCAACCCCAACAGCAATATGGGATGTCTGGTCCCCCACCTGCTATACATGATGGCCCTTATCACCATGCTCCTCCTAACAGCTACCAGCCTCCCCCTAATGCTTATCAACAAGTTCCCTATCAACAAATGTATAACCCCCAGCCTGCTTACCAGCAACCTCCTTCAAATCCTTACCAGCAAGCCCCAAGTCCTCCTTACCAGCAGCCCCCTCCATATCAAACCGGCCCTAACCCAGCCTATCCAGCTGCCCCAGCACCAAGCTATCAACAAGCCCAAAGCTCCTATGTGGTACCTTCTTTTCCTGTCGAAGCAAGAGTAGATTCTGCCTCAGGAAGTAGCATTCTTACTGCTCCAAAACCAAAGTTCTCAGCCAAAAAAAGTGCCGCACAGGTTTGGAAGCCTAGTGCTGTTGAAAGTGTTGAAAAGTAGTCTTTAGCACTTTTTAGTCATAACAAAGCTGGGATGCAAAGCTGTATATAAGAAGTTTGACAAAAACTAATGCAGGAAATATGTACTAAATATATTTTTGTCACAGAGAATTTAAAAACTTACTATCAACAATGAAATTAAAAGCAGACCTAGTGTCTGATTTTCAAACTGTACAGTATTGTGCAAAATCACAGGTTGAGTGCATTTTCTCCATCTCACAGTCCAAGACCTAGGAAGTACTGTTAAGTACTGTTTATCTGATGGTGACAGTTTTGGTGGTCTGTCAGGTTTTGCACGGTTGTTAGGATTCTCTTAATACTTTTTTGAAGTCCTGTAATCTTCTTTCTCCTGGTGGTTTATCTTATATGAACTTTTCTGTTCTCTTGAAAAATTAATAATGTGGACTTAATAGCCATTAAATAAATGAAGGATGGTCTCCGACTTTTGCACAGTACTGTAAGTATACCAACAAATATTTTCTGTATACTAATTGTGTTGTATCAAAATATAATATTGTATCTATCACAAAATTAGACTGATGTCTAATTCAGTTTAGACTCAATTTAAATGTGTGTACCTCAAGCAGGTAAAAGAATCTTTTTCATGACATGGCCAAAAATGCGGTGGTCCATCCGATGATGAAAATGGAATATTGTTATGTGAATGATTAGTGTGAGAGATAACAAATAGGTAAAAGAGAGATTGTTTGATTAAGTTGGATATCCACTGAGTACTTGACTTTATAAGATACTTTAATTTTGACTAACTACTGAATGCTATCAACATGAATTATAATCTGTAAGACAGAAAACAATTCCTGTATGTAGAGTCTGTAGAGTATGAATTAATATTGCACAGTACCTCAGTGGTTTATGTGAACAGAGTAGTCCAGGTAAATGAAATATGTAAGTATGGATATATTACAACATTTGACTGAGACGAATACAGATGCAGTTCAGCGATGGCCATTGTATGCAGCCAGATCCAGTCTTTTTAAGACTGAAGAAATTTGCTGTCTTTTTAAAAAGTAACGTTCAGGCCTTTTTTTAAGTAAGAATGAATGCATGCATTGCTGTTGTTGGTACAAAACCTCGCGTCTCCATTTTTGTTGTTTTTCAGTTTTTGACATAATTTGATTGTAATGCTTGTTGCCCTTTATATTATGTGCAAATTTCATGAAGAATCAACAAAAGAAATGGCCTAAAATGACTTGGAAAAAAGTCTGGTCCTTTGACTTACATTAAAAGTAAAGTAGGTTTTTTCTTCTCCTGTGAAGTTATCATTTTGGAGATACAAGGTTTTCTTCCGACGACAGCGATATGCTATTTTCAACGTGGTCTGTCAATGATCATCTCTGAAATCTGAGACATTGTTTGATATCATTATTAAATTTGAGCCTTTTGTAGATATTGTGTGATGACAGCAGAAGAGGGAGGAAGTAAGGCTTGCCTTTCACTACACTCAAGCTATCATGCTTGTGTTCTTCATTGTTTATTTTTAAATAAGAATTCACGCCTGGCTTCTTTTCCTGCTTCACCCTTTTCATTTTTATGTTTCTACCAGCTTTATTTTTTTTGACAAATTAGTTTTCAAATGCTGATAAAAACAAACAAGTTTCTTCTGAATGTAAAGTGACTGCAAATTTGGAAAACATTCATTTTGAGTGTTTTGTAATTTGCTAGCTTCTTGTAATCGATGTCTTCATCATATCCTTTTATTTTTCATTCTTCTGTGTGATTTTTCTTCATAGTACACTTTCTGTACGATTTGCCACAGTGCTATTAAAAGACTCTCTGTCTGTTTTGGGTTTCTTTGGTTCACTTTTGCATGTGTCTGTCACTTTCACCCTGCCTGGCATCAGCTTGTCACTTCTATTTTTTGAAATGTCATATATTTGTGTACAGTTCTTTGAATAAGTTTTGAGAAATATAACATTGCCGTTGCTCTCAGTAGTAATGGTACTAGCAGTGAACAGCTTACCAGTTTGAAATTATACTGCATGGATTACAATATAGCACAGAGATTACAATCCATTAATACTGAGTAATATTAGTTTGGAAATATAAACCTGCACTTTTAAAAATAAAGGTGCCAAAAAGTTTTGGTTTCCTAAGGAACCTTTCAACAGATGGTTCTTAGAAGAACCATTTTTGTATGTATGTATGTTTCTTTTTATAAATGGTTCTCAAGCCAGTCCTCAGGGACCCCCAAGTGGTCCACATTTTTTGCTCCAACCTAACTCGCAACACATTGGGATGGAGCAAGAATTTTGACCGTCTGGGTGTCCCTGGGGACTGGTTTGAAAACCACTGCTTTATATAATGTAAAACAGCAGTGACCAGTCTTATCCACAGAGGGCCAGCATGACTGCAAACAAAGCAGGAATACACCTCATATAACCAATCTATTTTTTGAAGACTGAGACCAACTGATTAAATAAGTGCTATCTACTGGCAAAGCCTGGTCTAAAGGTTCTATACCAATCACAACTTTTTCTTCAAACCACACTTAGAAGAACCACTTTAAAACCCTAATTTTTTAAAAGTGTAATAGCCAAAATTAGGTTTTATAAAATTGAGGCAAGTAGTAAGACACCTTCCAGCAGTGGCTTGCTTAGAGCACTTAGTAAAATGAAGGTTCTAAAATTGGTTCTGCATTGCATCATGCACTTGAGGGGTGCAAAGGCTTGTAATTTGTGAAATATGGAAGTGATCTGACTCGAGGTCCACTGCTAGGCCAGGCTCCGGCTATTTTTGGAAGAATCTGATCTCATCGCATGACCTGAAAGAGAAGAGGGCACTCAAATCCCACCTGTCTCTTTATCTCATTTAGGTTGATTCAGACTTTATATTAAAGAAGTGAGAGCCATCAAGTGTTCATTTAGTGTGGATCATGTCAGTTCATGTGTCATGACCATTTCATTTCATTTTAACTGAATTAGTATTGCCGTAATAAATGGGTTTTGTAATGTAAATAACTCACATACAAACCCAAAATCCCAGCAGTTTTATTCCTAAAAAAATGTATTTGTTAACAAAAGTAAACTCGTTTGAATTAAGAAGTTTGAGTTCATGTATATGTGACACTTTATAGTGAGTGCATTTTATGCACATCTAAAATAAGTGTTTTGTTTAAAGCAAGAGCAGATGCCACCTGTTCTTTGGTGTGATTGATTATTAGAGGTATAAAGGCAAGAAGGGTTATATTGGTTTTGTAGGTCATTAAGAGATAAATAAAGGCTGTTGTTACTGTAGTGACAGCATGAAGCACTAGGCTGGACCAAAAGAGCTGACTTAGCACTAGCTGTTAGAGCACTGATTCATGGCGCAGTTGTTATTTAAAAAATAACAAAACTTCATTTCCACCTCTTAGACAGTAGGTGGCAGCACAACCTTTTCTGCTTCAGCTTCTGCAATGCACTGCTAAACACAAATCCTGCCTTCTGTTTAAAGTGTTCAGAATGTGGTAGTGTTTGATTCTAGTGAACCTCTTATGGGAAAGAGAGTTATGGAAATAATGATCATGTCATTCAGAGGCCCTTGGCTGTAGGCACACGCCACTGAAGGTCATGCAGCTCCCATTAAACAGGACTAAATGTGGATTACTGAGGAGTACCCTCTCCATAAGCTAATTGTTCAGAGAAATCAGAGGTGGTGGGGAGGTTGGGGGGGGGCTAAGTGGTGTGCTGACACATCCTGTATCAATGGCCACTTGAAGTAACCCCTACTCTTTAGCTTGACTCGCAGGTGGCCGGTGCTGGCTGACTTCTTGGTTCTTGGAGTTTAATCTGCTTTGACTGAGACATTCATGTGTTCATGAGGCAAAAATACTTAGGATTTCTCATGAACTGCGTGTCCTCACAAAAACATTCCAATGAATTAAACGTAACTTTCCTCAACAAAACAATGCTGGTAAGAGAAAGAGTGTAACAGTATTTTCAAGGCTCTAAGAGACCTTAACTTAAAATGTTGCTAATGATGGTTTGTTTTCACTGTTTGTCAGCTGTAGTTTTACTGTGGAAGCCCTGATGCTGCAAAAAAATATTCTGAAGTGCTAAGTCCTTATTTAAACGTGATAGCTCGTTTTAAATAAAATAACTAATAATTTCAACGTTATTTCAAAATCCTAATGCCATGATTTCAGGATATAGTCTCATTATTTTGATTTAATATCCTTTTATTTCAAATTAGTTGCTGTTCATTTTGAGATCTTTGTTTTGACTTTTGTGACTATTATTTCACATGAGGAACTTTATTTAGTTATTTTCACTTAATATCTCACTATTTCAAATGAGCAACCTGTCATTTTAAGAAATTATCTCATTTTTTCACTTAAGATCTCATTATTGTAAATTAGTTACTTATAACTTCGGAATATACTCTTTTTTATTTCAATGTAATATCTCCACTTTTCAAAATATTTACTTGGAACTTCGGGATATACTCGTTATTTTGACTTGAAACCTTGTTATTTCAGATTAGTGTCTTATAATTTTGCAATATTTTCTTATTACATTGACTTGATATCTTATTTCAAATTAGTATCTTGTAATTTTGAGATGCTTGTTATTTTGACTTAAGATTTCATTATTTCAAATTAGGTACTTGTAATTTTGGAATGTAATCTTGTTCATTTAACCCCTTAAAATCACAGGCTTATTACATACTATGGCTTATTATTTAGTAAGTACAGGGACTTCAGTGCAAATTGGCTGAGCTATTATTAGGTTATAGAAGTATGTAATAAGACTTTGGGCCCACCCATGGGCCCTGACCATTTAACGTAATATCTCCTTATTCCAATGTATTTACTTGTAACTTCTCAATGCAGCCTTGATATTTATTACCTCAAACTGTAAACTGTTGTTATTTTAACCTAACATTATTTCAAATTAGTCGCTTGTAATTATGAGAAATTATCTCATTATTTTGACTTAATATCTTGTTATATTATTTTGCTTGCTGTTCAGGATGTCTATATTTTACTGCTGTTTTTTCTTAAAAGTTTAATTTTTTTTCAGGCACTTGGAAGAAGCTCGTCTTTGTCTCCACCTGTTAGATTGTCACCACTGGGCCTAAGTTCAAGGTCTGCGTCTGTTTCCCCATCTCCCAGACCTTCATCCCACGCAACCTACACCTCTCGCTCAACAGAGAGGCAGGCCATCTGGTCAGAAAAGAGCCGTAAGCCTCCCACTCCATGGGAGGCCGCGTCCCGCCACCCCCTGGGCCTAGTGGACGAAGCCTTTGACTTTCAGGACCTGCAGCACTCCATTGCTACCAACCTGCGCTCAGCAGCCCATCGTAAGCTGCTGCCTGAACCTCCAGCAGACTGGAAGGCCAAGGTTGCGTACGAGCCTCCGTCAAAGAGCCAGGGCTGGGGAACCAGTCGCTTGTCTTTGCCTTTTCTTTCCCCAACCAAAAGCACGGCATCAGCCCCAGCTGCTCCTGTGCCATATGGATCACCATTAAGACAGTTTCAGCCACCCAGGTCCATCACTGAGGCTAATCTTGGAGCATCTCTGGCTAGGCCAGAGAACAAGAGGATTCTGGGACAGTCTAGCTGTAAGAGCACATATAGTTACACCTGGAGACGGTAAATGTATGTTGGAGGATTTGTAATACTTGGCAGTGCAGATACAGCAGGTTCTGAATGTTTATTGATGAGACGAGCAGACTTAAATGAGTTGTTTCAAAATTGTTCCTGGGAGATCAGTAGCCAATGATTATGCAGTGATAATGTATAAATGCAGTTTAGAAAATTGTTGAAGTGTTGATTGAGGGATCAACCAACAGTCAGGCTATAGGGCCACATAGGAGAGTGTAACTGTGTGTTAGACTATTTTTAACATTTGGGCTACAGACATCAGTGTAAATACAGCAAGTACTGGTCGTTGAGACGAGATTAAAGGACTACTCCAGCAACAGAATCTCTATCCCAGGGATGCACATCTCTGGTCCTGGATGGCCAGTGTCCAGTACAGTTTAGTGATTAACCCACTCAGACACACCTGATTTCACTTATCTGTTAATTGCAAGTTTTAATGGGCGTGTTTGAGTAAGGAAACCTCCAAATTTTGCTGGACACCGGCCCCTCAGGACTGGAGCTATGCACCCCTGCTCTGTCCACTACATCTGTAGCATATGGTCAATTACCACTGACATCATTTTCCTGGACGTAAGATAGATCAGAAAACCTGTTCACTCAAAACACACTATGACACATAATAAATGGCGGTAAATAAATGCCCATTTGCTTCTATTGTCCACCCTTCATTTATTTAATTTCTAGTCAAATCAGCTGTTAACGTACAAGGTATTCATTTCTCAGCATCACAAAAAAAACAGAGAACATATTTCACAGAAACTTTCACAACTAAATATAATATCAATATTTTCAGTATTTAGAATGCCAGTTTTTTGAAGAAATCTGCAGATATTTTTCCACACCTCCAAAGTTCAGTCTCAGAAGTTGGTTGCATTTTCTGCTTATCACGATCAAACTGTTTTGTCTATTTTTTCTCTCAGTAAATGCTTCTTGACAGCTACACATCCTTTCAGGCTCACAGTGTTGAGTTGGCTTCTCACAGTGGAAGGATGGACAGAAACAGCTGTGTATTTTTTCAGATCTGAAGTAAGAGTGGAGCTTGATTGTCTCCTCTCTCTTAAGATGAAAGCGTTAAGTACTTTTTATGTGATGGTGAGAGTTTTGATGGTCTACCAGCTCTTGCATGGTTGTTAGGAGTCCCATTTTCTCTGTATCTTCTAATCATTTTTTCGACTCCAGTTTTGCAAACTCTCCTTCCTTATGTATAATATCTAATCTCCTCAGAAATATCTTGTGAATAACTTTGTAATGTGGCAGAGCAGACGAGATGCTTGCAATAAAAGCAAAAAATTGGAGGCTTTAATGTAACAAGGTTCAATTGAAATCGAAGTAGTAAAACGGGCAATGGTCAAAACCGGAGAGAGGCTAATAACATTAGACATTAAAGGGATAGTCAAGGGCCAAACAGAGGTCAAGATCATGAGACAAAACATGAGAAAAAGTAGACTAAGCCAAAATGGACAAAGACAGAAAAAAACGAGGTCAAAAAACAAGCCAGGTCAAACACAAAGTAGCAGTGGAGAAAGAACGCTCTATATGAACAAACTGTGGCAACACTTTGCAAAGCTGTGAACAAAGTGTACCAATCTTTATAGGGTAGAGCAGACATGTCAAACTGGTGACCTTCCAGGCCAAAGTGCTGCAGAGATTAGTGTTTACCCTCATCTCATATTCTGAATTCAGTCCATGAGGGGTTTGCTAATTAGCTGATGAGCTGAATCAGGTGTGTTTAATGAGGCAGTGCACTGAAATCTGCAGTGTTTTGGCCTATAAGGACTGGAGTCTGACACATGTGAGGTAAAGTGATGACAGTCAGGTGTGGTTGAATTCAGGTGACTGGGATCTGGAGAGTGGTTGATGATTGGCTATTGCAGGTAGGGTAAGAGTCACATGCCCTACTGAAGGATTCTGGGAGTTGGAGTCTGGGAAAGGATCAGCATCCATAGTGTTACTCGCTACAGAGCCAGAGGGAGGCATGACAAACTTGTACTTAATGGCTGTATTGAGTGGAAATGAAATGAATGAAGGGTGGTCTCTGACTTTTGAACAGTCATTTAAATGCATGAAAAAATTATGTCTGTGGTTATTAATGGTGTGCTAGATGTGGCAGATTAGGTTGAAAAATGCCAGAGTATTCCTTTAAAGAAGTTGTTTTAAAAGGGTTTCTGGGAAATAAATGACTATGACTATGCAATGACTATACAAATGCAAATCCAGAAGTGCAGGTTAGATTATTATTGAAATGTTGACTGAGGGATCTAAGAGAAGTTTGGTGACGGATGAAAATGTTTAGTTAACTGTTCTGAAAGGTTTAGAAGAGTGTGTTTAGCAGCGGTTGATGATGTGTAGATAAGCAGAGCATTACATAAGTTCAAATGACTCTTAAAATCAAACCAGTGACTACAGTACACTACTGTGAGCTCTATTACTATATTCATATACACAATGCTTGTCACATTATGCACATTTTACTGTCCTATTCATTTCACCTCCCCTGCATGCTGTGCATACTTTTAAATGCTAAATTTAACATGTGTGGGGCCGAAACAGTTGAATTAGTATAATGCATTTAGTCCTTACATAAGGCCCACTTTAAGAGATTAAATCATTGTGTAGTGACCGTGTCTGCCCTTTATTTACTACATGATGTCTGGCCTTGTTTCCTGGGACAACACACGACTCACTTTAGCACGACACAGCTTGTAGGCTACAGCAGACCCAAAACTAATTTGCCTCCATTTATTTGTTAGTCTCAAAATGCAGCAGATGGTGTGTTTGTGTGACTTCCCTGTTTTGCCCCACAGTGTGGATGTGCAGTGTGTGAATGGAGATCTTTTTTAATCAGTCTAGAACACTGCATGCTCCATTGTTGTGATCAGTGTTCTGAGTTACGATTCACTGATTGTAAAGGAACTGCATTAGTCAATGAAAGTGACTGTATGATGTTTTCTAGTTCAGTAGTCATTTAGCTTTGTAGCTTTTCCTTCTGTTCTGCGATATCATGTTTGTAGAGCGTTTCTGAATTGGGTTCCAGAAGTGAACATGTTTTTTGTTCTCAGTCTGGTGAAATTCTCTCTTCCTCTCCTCTCTTTTGGGAATGACACACAGTTATTTTCTTTTATGGTGACACCATCTCTATGACACAAGCTGACACAAGAGTTTGTTTTTTTCACTTTCCATTAAAATGAAATATATTCTACATCCCTCTGCATCTCCTTATTTTCAGAAAGTTCCTAAATGTTTGTTTTTGGGAGGAGGACGAGAGAGGGAGACACACAGACAGACAGATGGACAAAGAGTAATAGGTGGAGAGACAGTGACAGAGAGAGCAAAATAAAGTCAGAGAGTGAGAGAGAGAGCAAGATAGAAAGAAAGAGATAGAGACAGCAAGAGAGAGAGAGAGAGAGTATCTCTCTCTCTCTCTCTCTCTCTCTCTCTCTCTCTAGCTCTTACTGTGTCTCACTCTTTACTGTCTTTCTTGTTATCTCTCTCTCACCCTCTCTCTCTCTGTTTCTCTCTCGCTCTTACTATTTCTCACTCTCTTCTCTGTCTCTTTATTTCTCTCTCTCTCTCTCTCTCTCTCTCACCCTTCCTCTACCTCCGTCTCTCTGTCTCTCTATTTCTCTCTCTCTCTCTCTCTCTCCCTGTCTGTCTCTCTATATATTTTTTTATAAACACTGTAAAACTGAGAGGTGAAAGCCCAGCAGTTAAACAGTTAAACCTTTCCTTTTACAATCAAGAGGATCTTGTTCACTGCAGGTGTATGTTGCACCATAAAGTCTGTATTGCACTCATATGTAATTGACTGTACAGTACATACTGTACAGTTCCTCTGACCTTTTTAATCCTCCCCTTTTGCTTTGACCTCTCAATTCCTCTGTGAATGTCCTTACTTCAACAATTGCATTCTTGTCCACATACATAAGGAGTCTACAAAGAAGATAATACATATTATCAAATCATTTTGTTTTGACAGGTGCAAATGTGCACTTTTGGCTTTTCCCATTTGTTTTGATGTAAAAAAAACCTCAGCAAAACATGAACATTTTTCTTTCCGCAAAAGAAACTGTATACATAACAATAATATTATTTCAAATTCAATGAAATATTTCCCTTTACTACTTACAAACACAAACATGGTATTGAAAGTATAGAATCTACACTTTTGAGCTTGTTTCAGTGAAGTATGAGAGAGAGATTATATGGACTATGCTGTGTCCATATATGGAATATGCTGTGCTTGTGATCTATAATGGTGAATTTACCATTCGAGTTTAAGTACAGGTGCAGAATGATATTGGGATCACTTTGGTATTGGTTAGATAATTGTTTAAAGATCCCATTTCCTTTTCCCTGAAATCCACATGTAACATTTGCACAGGTTTATGTACCAAAATCATAATTCTTTATTACATGACCGTGTATCAACCTTCATTTATTTCTTAGAATTAAATAGACTGTTTTAGTTACTGTGTCTTTAAGACTGATGCATGTAGATGTCTTCTGTTCTGATTGGCTGCCCTGAATTGTACCTCACTCCAAAAACAGTCTGGGCTGAAACAATCCTTATAACTTCACAGTAAATGGGTGGAACTAAGCTGCTGTAGGTTGAACAGCTGAAAATGCACTTGTTTTTGTGACATCACAGAAATAGTGGATTCAGAACAGGCTGTTTGTGCAGCTTAGTTTTCATACGTGAACCCTATGGAATGGAGAGTCAATGGTATGTTTTGACACATCAACAGTGTATGCATTCCACATCAGACTCTTAATTTATATAAAGATAGGCAAAGGAAATTTGTTTTTCCATGATATGGACCCTTTAACCCCTTAAAATCCCAGGCATATTATATCATTCAGTAACTACAGAGACTTCAATGCAAACTGGCTGAGTTATTCTTAGCTTATAGAAGTGTGTAATAAAACTTTGGACCCGCCGGTAGGCCCTGGCCATTTAGGGGTTAAAATAAAAATGCACTGTCATTCTACATGTTTACATTTGACCAATATTTCAAATAGTGAGGTATTTGTTACACTCTGGAAGAGCAGAATATTTAGGTACTGATGGACTACTTGGCTAAATATCTGCATTGTATTCATTTTGAGGCATTTATGACCTCACATAAACGGCACATTTCTTTTTAATGCTAATCCAGGTAGACATAGTCTCAAGTAAAAGCTGGCAACCCTGTCAATCTGATCACCATGTACATATGTTAGTCCAAAAATGACATCAAAGTTCTACACCCTGACAGCCTATTAATACTCCAACTCCACTGACACACTTAGGTCATACCCAGAAGAGACATCAGCGAGCTCCATTACACCCAAATACATGTGAGTGTATGTATGTCTTCATGCTATTTTTAACTGTATACAGACTTAGAGTCACTCCCATCTTTCTGCACCCACCCCCACCCTCATACTGCCCCTGGCCAGAGCCCCTTGGCCTACAGAAGAGCCCTGACCAGCACAGGTCACATTACCCAGTCCATTCCTCAGCCCTGTCCACTAAAGGATACAAGACCAACCTGAAACACCTGTAGACACCTCCAAAACACAGGTAAGATCACTTCCCTCCTTTATGTGTGGTGTATAGGGGGTGTTTGGATGAGTCCGACTTCTGCCCTGCAGCCCCCAGTATATGATCATGTACTGGTAATACATGCACTGGAATAGATACAAGACAAGCTGTGGTTGTCCATTAACTTCAAGCTTCTTTACTGAAAGAAAAAACAATTCTAAAAAGCATCCCCTTTCCTATTCTCTGTCTGACTCAAGTCTTAACTTAAAATAATAATAATAATAATAACAATTATAATATATACTATAATAATTTAGTTGGAGTTTAAAATTCTATCATTTTCTTATGTAGCTCAGTTGTATCATTGAAAGGTTCTCTTGGTAACCACAAGTAGTTCTTTTATCGCATCACTCCAAAGAAGCATTTTTTTCACCTTTATTTTAAAGACCATGCCTTCAGTAGCTTTCTTAAAGCATATGCTTATAAATTTGGGATTATTAAAAAAAAAAATGTTTAAATGTTCTCTCAATTAATCTTTATTTTGTGAGTTCAGACCATGCCTTCAACATGTGATGGTAGTATAAGAGAAGAGGGAGAGAACTCTGAGAACTTGGGCTGGAGTTCTGTGTCTGCCTGTAGCTAAAATATATATTAAATAAATCTATATAATAAATATATTATATATAGCTGTAGCGGGACTAATCTAGGACTGAAAAACAGGCAGGAGATGGGGTGGCGGTGGGGATTGCAAACACTTCGTCACAGGAAAGAAAGGTGAGGATGTGAATTTATAGGGCGTTAGATCGGAAGAAGGAGGGGTTACAGACATGTTCCTCCCCTAAAACTTCAGTTATAACATAACTACATTAAAGCAGTGCAGTTCTGCTTGGACTTCAACATTAACCCATTTTGACAAAAAGCCTTTAAAAGCCATTTCAGCAGGTCGTTCTCAGTCCTCCTCTTTTGCCCCTCCTCACTCTAGCAGCTCAACACAGAATCATGACATGTCACACACAGAGAGCCAACAGTGTCCTAGTTACTCTGATAACAGAGTTGTGTGTAAAACTTGTTTTTTGTTTGATTATATTGCAGCATTTACTGCTATTAAAGAAGATGCACAACTCATGCAAAGGTTGTTGTGCTTTATTAAAAGTCTGCCCCAGCCATGCTATACAGAAAGCAGGGCTTTAGGCTAATAGCTAGCTCTAGCATTAACTCAAGTGTGTATTCACTCATGTCCTGACTCACTAGTTCTTCCTGTTGTACAGGCATAAACACAAAACCAAGCATCTAAACCTGCCTTCACGATAAGAGTCCTTGTCAATATAAACCAGAGAATGACTGCTGGAGAACTACTGACCCAAAATAAACATATGAACATTTTCTGAACATGCTACAATATCAACCAAAAATATCCAAGTTTATTTCCATTCTGTCACTGGAATAACCAGTAGAGGACCTGTAGAAAGAGATTGTTTATTTGAAATGGTTCCAGATTGAAAATTATGATCTTTTTATTTTCCATGAAAAATGCCATGGTTCCCCCCCAGTCATGCTGGTTTGGCACCCTTGTTCTGTGCAGTTTTCAGTGTAAAACATTGTAGGACTTTTGTCCTTGGACAGGAACGTGGAAAAAAAAGGATGTTGGGATGATAATATGGATGGACACAAACTGTCAGCATTCTTCACTGTACCATCACTGAAGTTAAATAACCTGCCTCATGTAACGTCACGCAGTGCCTTAGGCTGCGCTGTTCAGTCCAGTCAGGTTTAGATCAGGCATTTTGATTACTCCATTTCTCTGTAGGACAGTGTGTATGTAAACAGTACATGGGTTTAATGTTTATTTAAGGGACATGCTAACTTTATCCTTTGCACTGGCACTGGATATCCGCTAAACAGTGTGTGCAAATGTCTGTTTGGAAGTGTTTCTGTGTTTGATGCGAAAACATGAAGTGGAAATCTTTGCGTGTGGTATGTATAAATGAAACATCGCTTGTTTGCTCTGCAGGGCACCATGTCACAACCGTTCTTTCTGACAACAAGGGAGAGGAAGATGCAGGCAGCAGCCATTTGCAGAGAGGTTCATGCTGCTGATGGTAAGATGAAGTCTTTGCCATTTCTTTGGCCAAATACAAGCCTATCAATGCTCCACTGGCAGAAATCTCAGTCAATCTAATGAAGAACTGTTGAGCACAACTAATATTTGTCAAAATACTGCACTCAAATTTCTGATTAGGTTGCATGGGAAATTTAGAATGTGTTAGAAATTCTAAATGATTAGTCTTCATGCATGTGAAAGGTCACACTGTCATAATGGGTACAATGTAGTTTGTTTGTGTGTTAAGCATCTCATGGACCTGGCTAGTAACTAACTCGCTTACTTATTCACTCACACACACACATGCACGCACTCATTTACTCACTTATTCACTCACTTTTTCACTCACTCCTTCATTCATTCTCCCACTCGCTCACTCACTCACTCATCATTCACTCACTCACTCACCCACTCACTTACTCCCTCACTCATTTACTCACTCTCTTACTTATTCACCCACTAACTCAGATTTTCCATAAGGAGGGGCTATTCACTCACGAAATCACTTACATTTTCCACAAGTGGGCGCTATTAGCACTCCAGTAGCATTTGCTGCTTCACATCAATGACACTGTGTGTCCTTGTTGTCATGTAATCCAGCTAATGTTAGCAATGAGGCAATTATCATTAATGATAATTTAGTTTAGTCACAGTATACAAAAGAGTAGTTGAGTAGTGTAGAATTTTTTGATTGAAAATGAATCTACAATTTTTCATTGAGTTGAATGGGAATTTAGCCAGCTTTCTGTAAAGCTCGTAACCTCGCAAGAGCTGCTCTGAAAGAATGCACCTGTGGGTGGAGTGTGTATAGATAAATTAGAACATGTTGTATGAATCCAGCAATTCAGTCTTCTTTAATGTTATAATGTGACGGAAATCTTTGATGACTGTATCAATGGCCATATAGCACTTTTAGCAATGGCACTGGACTTTCATTAAATCACAGTCTGTTCAGATTATAATGCTCACAAATTCATTGTGATTTAATTGCAAGCTGTACAATGAACTCCAATGTATTAAGTTTATTGTGTTGTGTGGAAACAAAAAATCAAATCAAGTGGCATTAGTCCTAGGCCATTTCAAGACTGTCTTCTTTTTTGGCAGAATGTTCTTTTAAAAGGCAGCTGGTGAGATTCAGATTGTTATAATTTGAGTATTATTTGCAGAGCTCCGCAGGTTTGCTTCCAAAATATCTTTACACACTTTTCAGTTCACAATTACATCATTAAACACAAGCTCACCAACACCACTGTAAGAAAAACAACCTCAGATTTCAATGTTTCCTCCTCTGTGATTTACAGTACTCTTAGTGCCGTCTGTTTGGAATTCTTCTTCAGGTTTTCTCCACACAAATTGCCGACCATCAGTTTGATGTTGTGCTAAAAGTGTTTTTCTCTCAAATTAATTATTATTAATTAATGTCATTTTGTTTAAATTTTTGAAGTAACAAAAAGGACTTCAATACACTTAACCAGAGGTTAAATGGCTAAAGTGTTTAAGCATCTTTTGGGCCACTTTAAGCCTTGATATGCCATAAAGGCCTTAATAACCTCCATACAAAAAATAAATACGCAGCAACTCTAAGGAAAGTTAGATATTGGGATATTTCATGTCATTAGTTTGGATATAAAAAATAGTCCATAGTCAAGTGGTTGCTTGAAAGTGCTGAGACAGAAAATACTCTTATTATTTCATGTGCATTTCAGTGATGTATGTTATTTTTTTATAATGCAGTGTACTTAAAACCCATAAACTGAACCTCAGTACTCAAAGGGATACAAACTGTTCTTTACTTGGTATATTACTCTGAGCAACTCACTGTTAGCTGCCCTTCAGTTGCTCTGGTTTATTTTTGTAATTAGCCGCCTGCCACACCCTGGCTGGGTTGTAAATAATCCAATGAGATGTTTTACTAGTGAAAGTAACTAATCCTTTTGTAGTTGTACATTTGAACTGCTATTTCTGGGCACGGTCAACTGCATGGTGGAGGAGAAGATGAAGACTCTTAACAGCTGTGAGAACAGGCTAGTGGGATAGCTTTGCAACCTTTGATAGACCAATAACGCCTCCATAAATTAGTCTGCACTCAGTTGAGGCCAGGTCCTCAACAAATAATTGATCATCACATTCACTGGAACCAAATGGCTGGTAGAACACAGGTTAAGGTTACTCATGACTGAGTAAATGATTAATGTGAAAATGTACTGTGCAAATGTCAAACAAAAAGAATCTGAGGCCTGTGCAAAATATATTACATTTTTATCAACTTTGTATTCAAATTTAGAGTCAGGTTGAAAATACACTGCATACACAAGGTCACTTTATAATAGCAATGAAAATAACACTATCACTTATAATTCTGATTCTTCATTCCTCTGCACCAGATGTGTCAAACTGGGTTCCCTTCAGACCACAGCTCTGCAGAGAGTATCGTTTTCCTCTTCCGACACTTCTAACACACTAATTAGCAGATGAATTGAATCGGGTGTGTTTAATGAAGCAGAGCTGTTGTCTGGAATGAACCCAGTTGGAGCTCCACACATTCCAGTCCACCACTTTATATGAAATTAGCTAAAAGGTTTTTACTGAAACTGCACACCTAATTTGTGATTTGTTGCATCCTCAGGGTCAGAGGTGGATGTGGGGCGGAAGGTAAATGCACCTAAAGAAATTATGCTGGAGGAGCTCTCCTTAGCATCCAACAGAGGATCTCGGCTCTTCAAGATGCGTCAGAAACGCTCGGAGAAATACACATTCGAGAACATTCAGAATGAAGCAAATGCTCAAATCAGTGTAAGTGTGACTGGTTTGTTCTGCATGGTGTCAGTATATTAATGTAATTGCCTTCTTTAATTGCTTCCTTTAAATGTAAAGCAACAAAATTGTGTATCTTTTGTAGTTTACCATGACTAAAGTTTGAATTAATGCATGGAAAAGTCTTTAGCCTCTTTCCTTATCTTCTTTTCCTCTTTTTCTTTTTTTTTTTTACAGAACAGTGTGATTCCTCCTGTACCAAGTAATGAAGACACAGATATCAAAACCAATGTTAATGGTGTAGCTGACCAGGCAGATCCATGTACCAATCCTGGCATTATAGCCCCAGGTTAGTGTTCATTCTAGTGCATCCAGTCAGCATGGAAGCAATTGAATTTACAGCACAATTTCCAATAAATTCAAACATAATAGCCTAAACACTGGCAATGATGGTGGTACAGCTGCTATAAGTAGTATTAATCCTGTTGAGGGACAGCGAATGCTTTACTCTTCCGGTTCCAGTTCATGCTAGTTAAGAAGCTAACACTATTAGTATTTATGCTAGCAGCCACTCTTCACACAATTCTGGGTAAATGTATGAGTGAGTGCCTGAGTCTTTACAAATTCTGTGAAAAACAAAACAAAAACCGAATGGTTGAGGTTTTGTCCTCACAGCGACAGTTTGCTGATGTTGGGGTTATCTTAACATATGCTACAATAGGGATATATGACAGAGAATGAAAACTGTGACAACCAACCCCAGCCTTCTCTTAAATCCACTACAGAGATCAATGGATATGTCATAGAATTTGTCCTGTACACTCTTCACCTCTTGAGACTATCCCTCTCTGAACATTCCTCCATAATAGCCCTGTGCCTCTACAGGATGTTAGTCAGGCACTTACTGTGTCTTCTAAGAGCTGGCCCAGTGCAGTAACTGTCTGTGATAGCATCTCTAACAGACGTTATCTTTCCATCTCTGTACCCTGGTCCTGCTGTTTCTAGATTAGAGAATGTTTTGGTGACTTGTACAAAGCCATTACTGCACTAGGAAGTATTGTGTTTGTAACCATTTGAGAGCACTGGGTTCATCAGTGGCTGTAGTGCAAACATTGTTATTTTTAATGCTAGTAATACTACAAAGTGATCATGCGAAATATGACTCCCTGTCATTATGGCAATTACTGAGTGTTTAACATTCAAGTCAAACCCTTCAAGAATGATTTATTAATGCACAACCACCATATAAACATTAGAGCCTTCACTTTTAGAAGTCTAGAGTTATCATTGTTGTTTTGCTACACAGTTTAAATGTAATTACATATTCAGTATGTAGTAATGACCCTTATGAAAGCGATGAACATGAATTTGTACAAGACTCCTAAATGAATCTGAAGACTACAGGATACCACAATTAAGTATTGTGGATAACAAGTATTGTGGATGACTGTGATAACTACAGTACAATAGGAATGATAAACAAATATGAAAACATTATGCTATATTGTTACTTAAGTATTAAACGGCACTATTTAAATTTTGTAAGTTCACATAGTATTACGATATATTATTTTTGTAAAGGGATAAAAAAAATTAAGGATTAAAACAAGACTCCTCTGCCTGTAGTATTTCTCGAATGTCTGCTCAGTGGCTCAGGAACTTTGTGCTGCTTTCTTGAGGCTGATAAACTAAGGAAAGAGATTGTCCACAGTGTGAGGCTGATATGTGACAGAACACCCTCCTTACATAACCACTGTTTTGGGCTTGCTGGCTCCCAGCAGCTTGCAGAGATTTGAGGGATACTCGTTTGGATGGGCCTCCCTGCATCTCTCACCCCCCACACTTGCTTTGAGGACTTTAGGTTTAAAAGATGCTACTGTTATTTTGACTGTCACATTTTGCACTGGGGTTGGTTAATAGAACAGAGCTGTTCAAGACAGTAGCAGTAGCTTGCTGACTCTTGATACAAAACAAATTAAAGGAAAAAAACATGACATAGAAATCTGCCGTTTATTCAAAGTCTCTGGAAATGTACTGGAGGGGTTGAAAACCATTCTTCCCAAAGATGTTCCTTCGCTTGGTGTTTTGATGATGGTGGTGAAGAGCTCTGTCTAATATTTTGGTCCAAAATCTCAATAGGTGTTCAGTTGGGTTGAGATCTGGTGACTGACTTTTCATCATTTTCATACTCGTTAAACCATTCAGTGACCCCTCGTGCTCTGTGGATGGGGGCATATCCTGGAAAAGACAGCTCCTGTCAGTATAGAAATGTTCCATCATAGGATAAAGGTGGTCAGTCAGAATACCTTTATATAGCTTTGAGTGACCCTTCCCTTGAATTAGAGAAGTCTACCCAAGTCTACCATGCCAGCAACCCCCCCCCAGCATAACAGAGCCATGAGCCCCTCTCACTGTAGGGGTCAAACATTCAGGTCTATACAGTTTTCTTGGTGTGCACTACATATGCATTCTCCTACTTGTGGAGAACATGGTGATTTACGACTCATCTGATTATCAGTCTTAGTAATGAGGGGTTTATGCACTGCAATCTGACTATAATATCCATCTGGACTTAATGACATCCTGTATTAATATTCTCAGTTAACTGAGAAACAGTTACTCTGTTTTTCTTTACATATCACACTAATGCACAATCATCACAGTCAGTGAATGTGTGCTTTTGACCACAATTTCCAGCCTTATTTACTGATGACTTTCCCTTAGAACTATATAGAGCTTGTCACTGTTCCTATTAAAACACTAACTAGTTGAGCAGTCTTTGTGACTGAAGCTCCAGTCCTTCATGCCCCAAAAATGAACGCTTTACTTAGATCTTTTCCTCATGACATCTTGGTACCAAAAGTTAACATCAAGATTACAAGTCACAGAGCATGGTAAGATGTTAACTGCTTAATTCATGTAGTACACCTGACTAAATGTATCTGCAAATGTTATATTTCTCCACTCATTTATTCACATTTATCCTTTAATTTGTAACCCACCTGTACATAAATAATATCACTTCATGTGAAATGTGAACTTTTATGTTCTAAATGAGACAATGCGTTAATAAATAAACAAACATGTATTAATAATCTAGTTCACTGAGAGCACTCAATGACAAAACATACACTTTCAGAAATAAGGTATGAAACTGTCACTGGGGTACCCTTCTTGTCACTGGGGTGTTTCAGTACCTTTAGTCAGGGAACATAATTGTACCATAATCCATTGAAATGATATTTTCTAAGTTGTATTAACTCCACGCACCCCGTCTCATCTCCAGGCTTTTTATTTTATTTTTATTGTTCTGTTTTAAACATTAGATTATGAAGATACAAATATGTACTTTTCCACTAGGAAAAAGTTATTTAAGGTGTACAATTGGACCTTAAAATCACTGTTGTACTTTTGAGGGAACATTTACATTGTTTGTACCTTGAATGAAAAATGTACCTACACACTACCTTTATTTCTAACAGTGAATCATAAAATTCTTATAATTACATATAATACAAAAAAAGTAATCAATGGACTGCAGGGTTTTCTGGTGATTATAGGGAATCTTTGGAAATAAAATTAAGCTTTTTAGTGATTTTAGTTATAAAATCATTTGAAATGAAAGTGGATCTGTCTTCAGATCATACTAGCACACATAAATGTGTTCATGGAGAGTATTCTTTAAAGGCGCCTGCAGGCATAGCACATTCTTTTCCCATGATGGCACAGCAGGTAATGTGTCTCCTTGACCTGTGGCTGTCTCTCTGCTCAGCCAGCTAAGGCTCATTTCTCATCTCCTATCACATGCTCTGTTTCTCCCTTTTTCACATGGGAGGTCCTTTTGACCACCTTTCTTCAAGGTGCACTGCTCGCTGTCTGTCATTCCTTCTCTTTCTCTGCCTCATGGTACCACAAGACCTACTCACAAAAGGTGTTCTTTGGAGAAATGCCACAGAAGAACCAATTTTGGCTCCCTAAAGAACCTTACAAGGTGTAATTTCTTAAAGAAGCATTTTTGGAAATGAGACGTGAAAGTGTGAAGAATGAAGCTTTTTAAATGTAAAAGTTTCAATACCAATTTTAGGTTTTCCTAGAACTGCATGTCCAATCAAAGAACCATTTAGGGAACAAAGTACACTTCTGTCTTTGTAGATGAGCAAGCAAGCAAGCAAGCATTTATGGTCCCACTATGAACATTAAGTGTCTGTAATAAATGTGTAGTAACAAATTAACAATACATGCAAAAACAATGTAACTACTGCTGATGTATTCACTGTTACAGATGGATTACAGTACTGCCGCTTATGTAAATGTATGCAAATGTATGTGTATATATATACATATATGTTGTTAGAAGAAAACCTTGTATCTCCAAAAAGGTACCTTCACAGGAAAAGGAAAAAACCTACTTTACTTTTTCCCAAGTCATTTTGGGCCATTTCTTTTTGTCCATTCATCATGAAATTTACAGATTACAAATTGTCAAAAACTGAAAAACAACAAAAATGGAAATACAAGGTTTTCTTCTGACAGCAGTGATATATATAATAACAGCAGTTCAAACAAATGTCATTACCCACATATTAAAAGTGTAATTACATGAGTGAAAATATGCTGTTATGACTATTGAAATACTTTTGTGTCACTATACGAGGTAAAATTGAAGCTCTTACACATGTGTGTTTACATAAGCTGTACTACTGTAATCCATCAGTAACAATGAATACATCACCAGTTATTACATTGTTGTTGCATGCATTGTTAATGTGTGACTACACAGTTATTAGGCACACTTAAGACAAAGTGGGACCACATTTTCTGTTCACACATATTGTGTTTGAATGAATTTTTAATGTGGTAATTTAACAATTTTTGACATCAAGAAGGCTGGACTTGTGCTGTCCATTTTGTTTTAGCCTGGCCTTCTTTGTGGAGAGGTGTGAATTGACTTCACAGCAGGGGGTTCTTACAAGTCACTGCTCACTAGCAGCCCAACACAGAGTCACAACACTACACACATAAAGAGGCAAAAGTGTGCTAGTTAATCTGATAGTAATGTGGAAAAAATATTAGATTTGATTATAATCAAAAAAAATTGCTGCTGCCAGACCAAAAACTTTTTCAGTTTTTGACATAATTTGAAAATACCTACAGCCCTTTATATTTTTTGTAAATTTCACGATGAATGAACCAAATGAAATGGCCCAGAATTACTTGGAAAAATGTCTGGTTCCATTGATTTACATTAAAACTAAAGTATGCTTTTTCCTTCTCCTGTAAAGTTATCATTTTGGAGACCAAGGTTTTGGTCCAACAGCAGCGATATTCTAGTTGATCTGAATTTTGCCAGTGGAATGGCCACTAAGAAGCCTGGAGAAAGAGGCTACCTGTGTCTAATGTGTCATCCATCCTCATTTAACAGGAGCCATTGATTTGTTCCATGTCCACTTTTTAGGTTACGGAGGTCCTTTAAAGGATGTTCCAGCAGAGAAGTTCAACTGCACAGCCATTCCCAAATCCTACCACTCTCCATGGGAGCAGGCCATCAGCAGGGACCCCTCTCTAGCTGACACACTGCGTGTACAAATGCCTGAACCTGAGCCCAGACCTGAGATACCAGAGTACAAGAGCTTTAACCGGTGAGTATTGCTCTCCATAAAGAACGTCTATAACCTAGCTGTCCTCTCCTAGTGAATTATGGTTTTATCAGCAGCCTTTTTCTTCTTTGAGGGATATTGCAGGAGCCAGTAATCCTGCCTTGCAGTGAGAGTGGACCATATTTTGTGAGCAAAAAGATGTAGCTCAGCAATTTTTGAATTGTATAGTTAGCAAGGTAATTTGAAATAGTGAGTAAAATAGAAGAACTTTGCCTTAGATTTACCCAAGCTTGCGTTTACTAGAGGTGAATTGTTTGGGATGTGTTATTTTTCATTGCAATGAGATTCTGCTGTACAAAAGCTGTGTTCTCAGCCAGTTCCTTTCCCCAGTTGTCTTGGCCATATTTTCTCAGCCAAAAAATGCAGCTCAGCAATTTTTGAGTTAAAACTGTATAGTTAGCAAGGTCATTTTAAATTTGAAACAATGAGTAGAGTGTAAGAGTATTGCCTCAAACTTACTTTAACAAGAGGTGACTTGTTTGAGACTGTGCTATTTTTTATTGCAATGAGATGCCGCTTTGTGAGAGCTGTGTCCTCAGCCAGTTCCTTCCTCAGTCTTCTTAGTGTAGCAGCATTAACATCTAATCTGTCATTTGACGTCCTCTAGGGTGGCTACTCCATTCGGCGGCTTTGGAAAAGCACCTAAAGTCCCAGTGAAGCCACTTGAGGTGGATGTTGTCTCGGGCGTCCCCAGCCTTCCCCCCCCAGCGCCTCCAGCAGACCATGTGTCCGCACGACCCTCCTTCAACAGGACAGCTCTAGGCTGGGTGGCTGAAAGTGCCCCTCTGGCCCTGCCCACTGTCAGCCTAAAGCCCATGTCATCCGTGCCGCCCGTGTTTTTCCCTGAGTCTGATGAGCTCTGAGTGAAGCTCTCGTTGCAAGACAGAAAAAAGTAATGCACTGAATTTAGTTGATTCAAACGTGGGCATGATTATAAATAAAATATGTCACATAAAGCCGAAGGGAGGTATTTATATTTATTCTAGTAGGTGTACTTAGGTAAAATATCAATAGATTTGTACTCATTTATTTTCATAATTCTTTTACTTTTCGAGTATGTTAGTGAGTAAAAGAATCTACATTAAACTTACATTTAAGCCTTTCATATTTAGTTACCAATTCCTTTATTGAGTTTAATTTCATTTTGTTGTTTGTTCTAACTTTGGAGCTTTATTATTTTATTTTAAACCAGAAGAATCCCACAAAGAGAAGAATAGAGTGATGTTTGTTCATTTGAGCTCTTATTTGGCCACTTTAAGCCTGTGCTGTAATAGAGCTGTAATAGTTACATACAATGAACAAAAAAGGCATTTAAAGTGTGGATCAGATTTATTTATAATTATTGCAACTAATCATCAGCTAAGATTTGTGATTGTGACAGGCTTATTTATTCATGAGGAAATTATGTACCTGTTTTAATCAAGTAAATTCAGTGCATTGCTTTTTTTCAGTGTATTGTGATGCACATGAAGCTGTAATTCGGGTTGCACTTTCAAAGATGCCCATGTGCGTGAAGCACATAGGGGATGCACAGCTGTTTACAGTGCCACACTGCCTGATCATGACATGTAGACAACAACATCTGTTTAAGCTTTTTCCAATGTGAAAGAAAGTTCTACATGCTTTAAGTAGCATAGTTAGTACTGTTATTAAATTGCATACTTGTTAACTTAAAGTATCACATCTTATGCAAAATGTTGTAGCAAACCTTTTTGCATATAGATCTACATACATAGACATTTCTTCAACTGTTATGTGAATCTACACCTGTACATACCAGTACACCTGTAAATAGACATAACATTGAAGACTGTTAATTTATGACTTATTACTGTCATTTATAAAAAGAAAATAAACGGTGGAAGGAAGACACATGCTGTTCCAGTCTATTCTTAACATAAATAGAAAAGAATCAAACATTAGTTATGCAAAGCAATGCACTACTATATTCTTCTTCGTTTTGTATCATTCCTCTATTTTATTCTTATTTTTCTGCTGGATTTAACTCGTCCCACAGTTTTCGAGATATCAACACCGTTCCAACTCCAGATTGTCCAGTCTGATTGTGTAATTCAGGCCTATATACGGCTTCATTAAATTCTGAATTTATTTTCCATTAGGAATGAATGGGGAAAAAATTGCATGACCATCTACTGTACTTCTGCTTGACTCGATTGTTGTTCTGACCTGCACTCATCTGTTTTTCATTTTTTCATCCCTCAGTTCTCCTATAGAGCCCAATTCATTTTCGCTACCACACAAACTCTATTACATTGTTGCCCTACAGCCAACAAACTACATGTACTCACTAAGGGTGGGACCTCAAACTCTACTGCAAAGCCATACAGACCAGCACATCCTCTATGTGTCGTTTTTTCATCCCTCGTTCCTCCCATAGAGTCCCATTCATTTTTGTTCAAACCCCAGCCCTGTTTTTCCCTTTGCCCAGCAGACACCAAAATGCATGTACTCACTCAGGGTATGTCCCCAAGCTCTAATCCACAGCCATACTGACCCGCACTCCTCTATGTGTCATTTTTTTCATCCCTTGTTCCTGACATAGACTCCCATTCCTTTCCAACAACGCATAGCTAACACTTGGCAACTCCCTACAAACAACTAATGGCACAATGGCAACTGCCTAGCAGCAATTTAGCAAACACATGAGATACCATAGTAACGGCTTAGCAACAACCTAGCAGGAAGTGGGAACCATTTAGGCTGTGCAACCATTTTGTGTTTCCTTCAGGAAATGCACATTTCTAGTTGCATAAATGTCGTCTCACTGTGCTTTTTCATGTACAAAAGTTTGAAAGTAAGTTAACACATCCACTACATGGTTGTAGATAAATATGGCATTTTTTTACAAATAGTAATGCACAGTGTTTGTTCATTTGCAGAAATCAACATGTTGGAAAAAAAAAAAACATAAAATAGAAAATGTGCCATAACTTTTGCATTGTGTGTTAACATGTGCAGAAGTGTGTTCTCTGATGATGTGTTAACTTATTAACTCATTTTCACTTTTTCCACTTTTGCACACGATTGTGTGAAAATTAAAACTTCAAGCCTCCATTTTTTTATCTATTTATTTTTCATCATTTGAAAGCACCAGCTGCCTTTAACATTGTGTGACAAGAAAATGACGAATGATCCAACAGAAATTGACCAAAAATGCAGGAATACATAAAGTTAATATGTCAGAGATATGAGGTTTTGTTATGACAGCGACAACATATAGCAGTAAATGGCTTGTTATTTTTATAAACAGCTCAGGTCGCTCTAGCCTGTGTGCACTGTACGTGTGGCACCATGTGTGTTGAGCAACCTCAAGGTTACAATCTCCAGGCCTGACAAATCAAATCTGTTTTACTGACGGGACAGAGATGAGTGATGAGTCTCCTGCCTTTTGGCTACATTCTGTCTCTTGCACTCTATCAGGCAGACACTGATGGGTTTGCTGTATGTCCGTCACAGCTCAGTATACTTCATACTTCACTCTATCTAGCACCGTGCTCCTCAGCCAAGTCATAGCGCTCATCATAGAGACCAGAGACAGGCAGCAGAAAAAAAGGGCACAGGGCCACGAGCAAGGATCTGGTCGTGACTGTTTGCAGTTGTTCTGGCATTTTGTAGACCTCAAAAATAATAACTGCACTATGTTAGACTGTTGTTAAAATTGAACGAAGTAGCTTTATTGACTCAGGAAAAAACACGCTAAAATACAGTGTGTGTGCTCTACTGTAAGTCACTCTGTAAACACCCTAAAACAATAACTTAAAAGTCAGAGGTGTTGGGTGGAATTCTGAGGGAGTTTTTTGGACCACGTCATCTGTACATATTAATGTCACACACATAGAGCCAAAGAACAGGTCCAACTCCTACTGTTTAGGTCTCTAATACAAAATCAACATTATGCTGATGAAGATTTAATCACAATAGTAGATCATTCACTTACATCCTCAGGAGACACGTCCTCCACCAAGTTTTGACCGAGTTTTCTTTGAGTTTTCTTTCGTTACCCTTGCAATCATCAGATTCATCCACGAAGGTACAACCCATGTAACAAAATGTTCTTCCACAGATTGTGTGCAATTACACATTTCCACCAGAGAGGTCTTAAAATCCCCAAAACTTACATAGTGTATCTTTAAATAGGTATGTATGATTTCAGACTATTTTTGTTGCTGTCATGACAAAACCTTGTCTCTCCAAGATGGTAACTTTACAACAAAAGGGGAAAAAAAAACAAAACTGTTTAAAGAAGTTAATGAAACAAGATTTCTGAAAGTAATTTTGGCACATTTCAAATGCTCCATACATTATCATTTTAACACAATGTAAACAACAGCTTCCATTTTCGAATTCTGTAAAAAAAAAATATATAAAATTACAAGGTCTTATTCCAGTAGTGACGATATGTATCGATAGGCAAATGCAGTATTTCGCAACAATATTATTAATATTATTTGTAATTATTGTTCATAATAGTATTTATGAGATCTTAATTATCATGTAATGTTTTGATGGTTTAGCATTAATTAAAGGATTGCTTCTGTGCTTTCCCCTTATCTCTATCTGTTACACCTGTATCACACCATCAATTAGCATGGACAACAATTTCTTACTTATAAACAATTTCTTATTTCGCCACTTATGCTTGTAGGTATATGTCGGTTTCTCCGTCTGAATTTACATGCCCAAATCGTAAGGCAAATTATTCTGTAACTACATGAAATAACTGTAAATTTTTGCTTTTTTTTGTAAAAGGTTCCCTCAAATTAACAGAAAATTTGTTTTATGATCATAAACATAATGCTATATGCTTACAATTTACTGCTAAAAGCCAAAAATCTTAGATGCTCTTTGTATTTTTTTATAAAAGTAATTTTTACAGAGCAGATCACTGAAGAGACGCCATCTGAGATCCAGTTTATAGCCCAGATTTGTGGAAAAATGGGTCAACTTTCAGTAGACAAAAAAAGTTGTGAGTTCTTCTTTTATCCCGTCTATTTGACTGGAAAGAAGACAGTTACAGCTCTCATATGACACCCACCTTTTGAATGAAGCTTATAAAATATGAAAGTTATGAAGTAAAAAATATGATGAAGTGAGTTTTGGAACCACCGGTGGTCCCAAGGAGTTAAAGAGGTTAGAAAAGGACAGAAAATCTGCACACTGGTAACAAGTGTCCATTGGATTCAATTGTAAGTGTATTTTAAATGACTGCATTTTCTGTTCCTTTGCTAATTACTGGGTAACACATCACAATCATTGTTAATGGTAATTAACCATATGCCACAGATTTGGCAGATAGAGATCAGATTGAGAAATGTTGGGCTATTCCCTTTAATTTAATTGGGATATTCCCTTTCATCGCTTTGAAATTGTTCCAAAAGAACAGTTCATATCTTTCTAACTGTTGAAACATTCCAGAAACAAACTGGCTACATTCTGCTGGATAAGACTATGCTTGTAGACCTGGCTTATAACACATCCTCAGTGCTTGGGGAAAAAAAGGGACTGGATGTGTCAGACTTTCTTAGCATTTCTTACATTTACATCATAAATCTGAACAGTTGAAAACCTTGAAGAGTGCATATTATTCAGCGTGGCCCAACAGCTTATTCATTCTGTGGGTGGATGGGCAGCTACTGGACAGGAGCCAACCAATTAGACTGAGATTGCTAGCTCAGAGGAAAAGTTGCTGATCTTCAATCGCTTTGCTTTCCTGTGTTTGTGTTGTCCCTGTATCAAAGACACTACATTGCAGATTCATCGAAGCAGCAAACAAAATGTGTTCTCTGAGCCACAGCATGGTTGATGCATGAGCTCTCCTCACACAACGTATTACAACACACAAACAAAAAGATGCTGAGCTTGACTGTTTTGTTTGTTTAAATTGTTTTTGGATTATGACAGTGCTTTTCAATCCAAGTCATGGATTGAAATAAGCATTGCAAATTTCTGTGGCTGGTAGTAACCAGAGCTGGGTTTCCCAAAAGCATCTTAGAATAAAAGGTGATTGTTAAATGGTAGAGCGAGTATCACACTGAATACTCTCTCTACCAGTTGGATGATATTAATACTAAGATGCTTTTCGGAAACTGGGCCCGAATTAATTTAGGTTGGTGTGTTAGAGCAGTGGGATTGAGAAGCTGTGGATTATGAGGTTCTGTTGGTCTAACACACAGCTGACTGCTGTCATAGATTATATACATTCACTGTCCAATTTATTAGGTCCTCCTTTATATCTACACCTATTGTCCATTTGATTGAATCCACTTACCAAATAGGTTCACTTTATAGTTCTACAATAAAAGATTGCCATCCATTTGTTTCACTACAGAATTTGTTTGCCCCTTTCATTAGTGGTAAGGACCCTCACAGAACCACCACAGAGCAGGTATTGTTCAGGTGGTGGATCATTCTCAGCAGTGCAGTCTCACTGACAGGATAGTGACACTTGTGTATGTGTTGCTGGAGTTTTAAACTCCTCAGTGTCACTGCTTGACAGAGAATAGTCCACCAACCAAAAATATCGAGACAACAGTGTCCTGTGAGTGCAAACTGACCACTAGGACTAGAGAATGACTAACACAAACTGGCAGCAACAGATGAACTACCATCTCTAACTTTACAACTAAAAGGTTGACCAACAAGTTAGATGTGTTTAATAGAGTGGACAGTGAATGGACACAGTTTTTAAAAACTTCAGGAGCTCTGCTGTGTCTGATCCACTTGTACCAGCGCAACACACGCTAACATGTCACTACCATGTTGGTGTCAGTGCTGAGAATGATCCACCAACCATATAATACCTGCTCTATGGTGGTCCTGTGTTGTTATGACCACTGATGAATGGGGTAATG